GCTTCCATCAGAAAAGTGCTGGAATGGCAGCCAAAACCTTTCCTTTAAGGTAGACATGAGCTTTGGTGTAATGACACAAAGAGGAGTTATGAGAGAAGTACAGTTTGGGACAGGTACCTCTGTCCCAGAGAATGAGTCTTGGAAATGATACTTCACAGCATGGATGGGAATTCTGAGAGCCATAGTGCAAAATAAGTAACTTTTCCAAGCTCTGATTTATTTATTCATGTATGTGCTTGGCCAGTCTGACTAAATGAAGCTCTTTCAGAAGGGAAGTCCTGTTGGCTCACTTTCTGTGTTCTTCAAGTTCATAATGAGAACCTTCCACCTTTTTCTGGGTTGTTTTGTGCACTTCTGAATTGGGAAGATGTACCTTTCAGCAACAAGGCAGAGTATGTAATCTCTATCCCTCCAAAAATTAGGTTATCTGAAAATCCAACTTTATAAACAAACTCCTCTGCAATGAGCCAAGGGACAAGAACTCCTCTGCAATGAGCCAAGGGTGTATTTCATAGCTCATCCTTCATACCAGTGGGCAGAACCCTGAACACTTAGTAACCCATCTCTAATTCAAGATAGGCAGAGTACAGGAAGCTGAGTGTTATGTCTTGCCCAAGGTGTACTAACCGAGGTTTCTGTGCTATTCACAGGGAAATATATAGAGAAGAAAGCACTTGAAGTTTATTACGGTCACTCATGCTCTTTTAAAAAAATATTATTTTTCCCCCAAAATTAAGTCTTTTCATATCAAATGACATATTTCATTTAAACATCAAAACTCACAGCTTGGTTAGAGACCTCGCCTCCACCCTTCCTACCCCCCCCCCACTATTTTTTAAAAAAATCAGTGTTACCACCAAAAACTTGTTTTTCTAGCAGCAAGAATTCCTCCTTCCTCCCCTCCCCCCAAAAAACCTGGTGTCATGAAAACTTGGTCTCTAGTCAAATCAGATGTCTATATCTATGACACAAGCTCTTTTAGGGCTTGCTCTGAGATCCCCATAGTAACTACAGTATGGATTTAAAGAAGAAGAAAAAACCCCAAACCCTTTCCCCTTTGTATATCCCCCTAAAGACAAAGATGTAAGAAGTTTAGTAATGTCAGTATAATTAAACAAGGTTAATTCATTGCTGTTTTGTTCCCATGGGATTTTCTTTGCATTTCCATCTGCTCTGATTTTGATGTGTGAAATGCAACCCACAAGTTCCTGGTGGTGCGACAGAAATGTTAGAATTTTTATTTGGCTAAATTTTTTAAAAAACAGTTACGGTATCGTTTCTTTGCACTTTTTAATAATAAGCTGGGTGACATTCTGTCTTCCCTGAATTCTGTTTTTCTTTTTCTTTTTCTTTTTCTTTTCTTTTTCTTTTCTTTTCTTTTTCTTTTCTTTTTCTTTTTTTCTTTTTTTCTTTTTTTTTTTTTTTTGGCCAAAGGGTACCTGCCAGCCTAGATCTGTTTAAATATGATTGACGGGTCAAACAGCAGGATGCTGCCACCACAGAAGTAGTAAGGGAAGCAGGTGAGCAATGAGGAAAGACTGAGATCTAAAGCAAGTTTCCTAATGGGGGTATTTGGGTTCTTTCATGTATTGCAGACATACTCATTAAACATAAGGAGCTCAGGGGGCTGGAATGATGGTGGTGTAAGGAAGTGAAACTAGGAACACTGATTATCCAGACACTTCTCAACAGCCTTCATTCCAGGAGCCCACATGAATGCCTATATAAAAGGATATAATAGGGATGGTAGTGAAGGCAAAAGAGGAAATTAAAATGGGATGCACTTAAAAAGAAGGAGAAATGTTAAGGAACAAACCCCTGATGAGAGGGATGTGGAGATCTGAGTAGCAAACTGAAGTGGCACCTGAGAAATGTTTCAGAATTATTTGTAAGGAATTTATACTAGCAGAGAAATTCACGCTTGTTTACATGTGTCTGAAAAATCAGGGACAGATGCTGGGGAAAGCAGCTATCTTTTTCTTCCACACGTGTGTTGCTTTACCCAGTATTTTTTTTATCCTGGCTGCTTGGTTTCCTCTTCTTGTAAATGTTAATAAGGACTATCATATCACTCTGTGTTAAAATTGGGAACTGTAGGTGTTTTTATTGGTCTTTGACACCTGGCTGTTAGAAATTCCAATGTCTTGCTTAGGAGCAGTCAGATTTGTCACTTCTTGAAAAAACCTTAGCGCTTTGGGCCATAAAGTGCTGTCAATTAAGAATAAAAAATATGAATGACACCTGCAAAAAGAAAATGTTGCAATGCAGACTGCTCCTGTTCTCTGCTGTGGCCACTTAGTCTTGCCCCTTTCTGCAGTACTCCGTTCCATTCTCCCCTTCTTTCTGATTTCCAATTCTCCCCCTGCAACAGTCAGTCAGGATACATGACCACTGGGTAAGCTCAGTATTTTGGGGTCCAGGTTCTCTCCCTTAGTGGTCCCCCCTCCATTTATTTTATTTTATACTTTTGCAAATCTCCACTTAAGGCTGCTGAGACTTTTCTCTTCTGTATCGGCAACACTGTTATGGCTATATAAGCAATGGCACTCACTCCTGAACATCAGAAACAGAAGGAATGATATTCTGTAATAAATGTTGCTCCACTTGAAGTAGATGCTGAAATCATCATGAATGTTATGAAATGCCTTCTGAAAAACTAACCTTTTGAACTCTGTTCTAAGAAAGCTGGAACAGTTTGGTAAAGAGTGCCATGTACTAATTTCTTTTGGAATCACTAAGAACTAAGTGCAGGCTTATTCCAGAGTATATACAGGAGAATGATCCTTCTGTTAATAAGATGGTCCAGTGGAAACGTTGAAGTCTAACAGGAGTGGGATATTCAGGCTCATCTTCTTCAGATTGGCATCCAGGTAGAAGCTTGAAGCTATGGGATGGATAGGTTAATATTTTAAATACATGGAAACACACACAAAAAACCTTTTCACATTCTTGATTTGATGTTTCCTGGCACAGCGTCAAGGTATGTTAGTGAGGAAACATCACTTCATTCTCCAAATGTTCTGACAGGATGAGACCGATGGAATAGCAAGTAATATTGAGATGTGGAGGTGAAATAGATGGAAAAGTTGGCCCCTTCTCAGGTTGGAGTAGGAGGAAACAATATAGATATAGGTAGCCAAAGTAGCAAACTCTCTGACCTGGAATACATGTAAAAGTTAAGTTGATGTGGAGAGGTCACAACTACATACATTTTGCTTCGTTCTTCTCTGTCTTTTTTTGTAGAGTGAGTACACACAAGGAAACCAACTTAGGTCCAAAGCCGGGATCATGGCATACTCATTAATATGGGCATGTAGGTTGCATTTGAATTGCAAAGAACTGAACTCCTGCTCAGTGAGTCAATTCAATATAGAACAATAATAGTCCATGCCTTAATGGAAGGCAGTTTGGTTTATAATTTGAGACACAATTCTGCCAAATCTACACAATTTTGAGTTTTGATATCAATAACAGAGATAGTTATGCACATATTTAACTCTTCCTCTCTTAAAAGTGTTTTAAGATTAGATGATGTGAAGTAGCTCATTCCTCTGAAATTGTTGTTGTTGCGTGCTTTCAAGTAATTTCTGACTTATGGCAATCCTAAGATGACCTTATCATGGGGTTTTCTTGGCAAGATTTGTTACAAATGGGTTTACCATTGCCTTCCTTAGAGGCTGAGAGAGTGTGACTTGCCCAAGGTCACCCAGTGGGTTTCTGTGGCTGATTTGGTCTCTAGAATCATAGTCAAACCATTACACCATGCTGGCTTATTGTAACATTAAGAATCCCCCTTAAATAATACTGCTAAAGAAAGCCAAAAGAAGCCAGTGGTAGTATATGAACAGGGCAGCTGTGCTTCAGGAAATTGTTATAGTTTGATAGCTATTTAAGTTTAACAGTGTGTTTGAGAAGTACGGTACTGTGTTATATTTGTTTTTGTAATTCATTTCAACAAGCCCAAACTGGCTGAAATCCAGTGAAACAGATGTTGTACATTTTTGAATTGGGAGGAAGTGGTGCCTCAAAATGAGGTGCTTTAATGGTTTGGTCCAAAACTACTGGTGAGTAGGTTTGTTGGGAATGATTAGAAGCTTCCTTCTGAAATAAGTGCCTTTGGGGATCACGGTATAAAAATCCCACTTATAGTGGTGATATTCTTGCTCTAACATAAAACACTCTCCTTTGCCAAGTGGGTAGTGGACAAATGAGAATGGAAGTACTGAATGAAATGTTTCTCCATGCAAAATGATATATTTGACATCAAATATGTCCAAGGACTGTTAGGATTAAGCATTCAAAATGAGGGGGAAAGGCAAAGCTATTTGAGCTGAAGATAAGGAATCTAATTAAAAATAGGTATTAAGGGTATCTGGCCTGAGCTTGCGATCAGGCTTTTAAAAGACGACTCTTGTATCCATAGTAAAGTAGAGGGAGAAGTATCGTGGCGATGGAGATGAAATGTTTTCTTGGCTTACAAAAAAGAAAGAAAGAAAACAAGGGGGGGGGCAGACTGAAACTTGTTCTTTAGGGCTGCATACTTCAGATTAGAATCTCATCTATGGTTCTTGCAGTAGTTGCACAGAAACTCTTACAAATTACAGTTTATATATGTGGGCAGACAACATTGTTTCATTTCAGAGTTGGATGTTGCCAGCCACGTTAGGTGTCACAGTGACATAGCTGGGAATAGTGGAATGACGGAACTGTAAAAGGAGTTATATGAGTGGGCTCCCCACTTTCGTGTTATTGGAGGAGAGATGGACCCTTAATTCTTTGCCTCCAAGAATCCGAGGGTTAGATTAAATTGGTTTCATGTGAATATAGCATTTTATGTATGGTTTATTGTGTACTTCCAAGTCAGTTTTGACTTATGGTGACCCTAAGGCAAATCTATCATAGGGTTGTCTTTGCATGTTTTGTTCAGAGGGGGTTTGCCATGTCCATCCACTGAGGCTGAGAGAGTGTGACTTGCCCAAGATCATCCAGTGGGTTATTTATGCTCAAGCAGTGAATCGAACCATGATCCCCAGAGTCTTAGTCTAACACTCAAACCACTACACCAAATTGGCTACAGCACAGGATCAAAATATCAGAGGTGGAGTGTGCTTTGTAAAGGGAGTTGTCAGATCCCTTCAGACATGGAAAAATTGAATGCACAGACTTCAGATTTAAGGTGGACCAGTCACCTGTTTGTTCCTGACAGAGAGCATTAAAGGGCTTGCCTTTTTGTGGGAACCCATTTGTTTGGAATCACAACCTCATATGCACACACACATACACACGGAGGTTGGGGAAACAAGACACTATTTTGTTTCACATCCCACAGTGAAATGCAGGTGTGTACAGACTTACCAATCTTTTAAAAGTATTGGGCAAACCTTCTCTTAAAACAGGATAGTGTGCAACATGGGCCTCATCCACATTGCCAAAACAATCCAGTTTGATGAAAGTGAAGCCACAACCAACTACAATTCCCAGAATTCCATAGCATGGAACCATGGCCATTCAAGTGTTGTCAAAATGCTTCAGCAGTGAAAATGCAGTCATAGAAAATGTTGAAGAATGGATGCAGCCACAGAAAACTTTTTGAAGAATGGAATTCAATTTGTTCAAAGCCCTTGATCGTTTCTATCTTTTTTAAATGAATGTTTTAATTAAACTAATTGTGAATTACAAACATACATACATGTCCAGACATCTGACAAAACAAAACATCCAGACAAAATTATAGAACTGTAGAATCAGCCATATATGTGTATAATTCTTTCAATTACATGTAACATTTTTACTTAACACTTATAAAAAGACTTCCAGAAACCACTACCCTTCCCCTATTTTTTTATCCATACCCCTTCTTCCTTCCATATCCTTATGAATGTTATCTTTCTATGTATCTTCCTCTCCTTAAATTGTTCTACCCTAAAAAAAACTTTATAAATTATTTTCTATGTTATTTATAACTGCTGACTTCATCTTCAGTAAGATGTGCTTCTGAAGAGAATGTGTGCATAAATATGATGAATTATGGGGGGGGGGGAAGAATTTAACAGAATCATCCCTGCCCCAGACTTCATATTAAAAGTGCCCTCAAATCACTGGCAAACCTGGTGCCCTGAAAAGGGGGAGCACCCAAAAGAGACAAACAATGAATGGCAATAAATGACCAAGTTTGTTGTTGTTAACTGCCCTCAAGTAGATCTCCACTCATGGCAACCCCATGGATGAGACATCTCCAAGACCGATGTGAAGTCATAGGCTTTCATGGCTGGCATCTATAGTTTTTTGTGGGTTTTTCGGGCTGTGTGGTCATGTTCTAGAAGAGTTTCTTTCTGACGTTTCACTAGCATCTGTGGCTGGCATCTTCAGAGAAAGATGCCAGCCACAGATGCTGGCGAAACGTCAGAAAGAAACTCTTCTAGAACATGGCCACACAGCCCGAAAACCCCACAAAAAACTATCTCCAAGACCCTCTGTCCTCCACTGCTCTGCTTAATTCCTGCAGCCTCTTAATACCTGTGACCTCCTTAATAGAGTCCATCCATCTGACATCTTTTTCTTCCTTTTTTTCTACTTCCCTTCATCTTTCCCAGCATTATTGTCTTTTCCCAAGAGTCTTCTCTTCTCATGATGTGTCCAAAATTCAACAGCCTCAGTTTGGTCATCTTGGCTTCCAGGGAGATTTCTGACTTGTTCTGCTCTAGGACCTATTTGTTTGTCCTTTTGGCTGTCCGTGGGATCCTCAGCACTTTTCTCCACCATCACATTATCTCAAATGCATTGATTTTCTTCCTATCATCTTTTTGGTACATGGTAATAGGGAATACGACGGCTTGTATGATTCTAAAGTTTTGTGCTCAGCTGTATATCTTTGCATTTGAGGATCTTTTCTAGTTAGCCACCCTCCCCATTCTTTGTCTTCTTCCGATTTCCCGACTGCAGTCCCCGTTTCTATCAATGCCTGATCCCAGCTATGGGACTTCTTTGACCATTTCTATATCTTCCTTGTCTAGGTTGAACTTGTGAAGGTCCTCAGTGGTCATGATTGTTGTTTACTAGTTTATGTCCAGCAAAGAAAGCCCAAGTGCATGGCACTATAGAGTTGTCATGACCGCGAGGGGGCTGCAGGTGGCGCTGCAGAGCTGGAAAGCTTTAAATTCCCCCGAAAGCCTGCCTTCCACAGAGCGGAGTGAAGCGGGGGGGGGGGGG